GAGCGCTAGTGTCGTGGTAGCAACATGCTATGTGTTTACATCCATCGCTGCCATGTTTGTAATGACTTATCATGAGAACAAACGTATTCACGTGACTTTAATAACATTTATTACTGAATGGAAACACCGAAACTGTGTTTTTCGACATTAACAGAATATCGATAAAATTTTGCGCACATTTGCAATGGTACGCTCTTGTTTGAGAGGAAACTCAAAGTGGGCACATATGAGAAGCACAAGAACCACTTGATATACAACTTCCTTAAGAATAAAATATGAAAACTGACATCTGAAACTGAAAAAAAGCACTGTAAGCAGTGCTTTTTGTCCACACCATTAATCAACTCCTGGACATAAGACTCCATATGTCATAAAGCTTAATTATGCTGTGACAATCATAAACTATGACAAAGACAATCCACTATCACTGCACTATGAAAGGTGTTGCTTTGAAAAACAATAAACTTCAATATATGTAGGTCTTTTGTTTTTTCCCCCCATTTGAGTTAAAAATGAAATAATGAAGCTATTACGATATAAGTGCTAATAAACGCCTGTCACAGCAGCAGAAGCAGCAGTAGTATGCAGAGGTTTGGATATTTGGACATAAGTGTTGTCTACACTTAAATCAACTTTCAAGAAACAGCTCATGGTTTCATTCCCAGGCTGATGACCTAACAGTGAAGGGGTCACTAGCCCTTACTTCCTGGGTGGGGTGGGAGACTTCATGAATCTGGGCGGGGTTGGGGATTTGACACTTCGAGGTGGTGTCGGGGTTGGAGACTTAGGAACCGGGGTAGAGCCTGGAGTGGAGGCAGGAGTTGAGCTCTTCTGAGACTGCGCTGGGGTCGGAGCCTTAGAAGGGGCCGGGGCGGGGGTCTTGGATGGTGGAGCTGGAGACTTTGGTGGTGCAGGTGTGGCTGCTTTCGGCTGTCCCACTTTGGGTTCAGGGATCGGCTCTCCGTGCTTGTAGACACTGACGGTGATCTCGACAAACTCACCACCATACTTGTTCCGAACATTGATGCTGTACTTGCCGGAGTCTTCAGGAGTAACTTTGTTGATGACCAGGCTGGCGAACTTTCCGCCGTCGAAAGTCACTTTGGTGTGCTCGTTAGAAGCAACTTCCTGCTCGTTTTTGAACCAGGAGACCTCGGGGGTTGGTTCGCCCCACACAGTGCAGGTCAGGCTTAGAGACTGGAGGAGGTGCAGAGTCAGTTCAAATGAAAGTGACAACACATTTCTTACACTGCTTGTCACAGTAAACAGACCAGACACCTAAAAATAACTGACACTCAAACAGACAGTATTCAGACAGTCAGGTATTTGATAGTTGTGTTAACACAGAGGGCAAAATATGGGACTATATCTGGAACCGTACAGCCTGCTTTTCATTTCTATTCATCTGAAAGGCTGTTTTCTTAAATTGTTACATTTAAATTACAACAAAACTTGAGTCCTGCAGCTGATTACTACTTACAATCGCATCAGGCAGCTATTTAACTGCCTGTGGCTTTCATCGCCACAGTGGCGTAAGAGCTTCTGTCGTTGGGCACGCTAGAACGTTTCCCAAAGTGAAACACTGAGCGAAGTTAGAAAAAGAACAACTAAATGTTTTAAAGGATCCCTGATTAGTTGTAACATTAAACTTTATTTAATAAACATGTATTTTAACTATAAAATAAAGACTGTAAAAATACTGTAGGATGTTCAGTTTTTATAATTTTTAAAAATATATTTTAACACGGACGGAGCCATTTTATTTCCACACAAAGCATTCTGGGTAAATGATGACGTGGATAGGTCCTCAGTGCGAGGCTGCTAGCGAGCTATATCCACCCTGAAGGTTAATCTTGGACAATATCTGATGATCGACTCTTTTAAATGAAACCAGAGAGCGTTGACAGAGAGGAGAAGGTAGAAATGACTCAGCCTGGAACTTAAAATATGGATGGAGGACAACAGAGCTGCTTCATGGAAGAACAACCTCAGATTAGCCTGTTAGCCTTTGTGCTAGCACTGATGTTATATTACCTTTGTTGCGGACAAACACCGAACTTACTCTCTCTCCGCCCGAGCTCGTTTGATCCTCCCATGTGGACCTGGTACCGAGGTGAAAAATTTAACATACAAGTACTTTTAAAGGTTCAAACCTCCTTTATTTAATAAAACAGTTATGATAAGATACAGTATTGTCTAAAAGTATAAATGTGCATTTATAGACAACCTTACAACCTGATTCTTGGAGAATCCGGTGCATCTCAGCTCTCTGCTGGCAGATTGTCTGTCTGATGAGGAGACTCACTGCCGTTTTTACCATCTCCCTCACAGAGACACACACGATGCCCCCTCCTCAGGAATGCAGTTCTAAACTGATCTCAACCGTTTTCTCCCACAGATTCCTTCAGCTTGTCTGCAACTCATCACCTCGTTGTCAAAAAAAACCTCAGCTGCTTAACACAAAATACTGCTGAATAAACTTCATGCAAAAGTGAACAATATCTAATGTTGATTATAGAACTTAAGAGTGAATAATACCTAAATTTAATTATAAAACTACACAATACCTAAGTTTGATTATAACAACTTATATGTATTAGCTCAGTGCTAATACAGTCCATCCATATTTTCAGTTCCAGGCTGAGTCATTTCTACCTTCTCCTCTCTGTCAACGCTCTCTGGTTTCATTTAAAAGAGTCGATCATCAGATATTGTCCAAGATTAACCTTCAGGGTGGATATAGCTCGCTAGCAGCCTCGCACCGAGGACCTATCCACGTCATCGTTTACCCAGAATGCTTTGTGTGCAAATAAAATGGCTTTGTCCGTGTTAAAATATATTTTTAAACTTTTAGTTTAAAAATTATAAAAACTGAGCATCCTGCAGTATTTTTACAGTCTTTGTTTTACAGTTAAAGTATATGTTTATCATATAAAGTCTAATGTTACAACTAATCGGGGATCCCTTTAATAAAAATCATGTTTTGTTTCTTGTGAACTCTGTTGCAGAACAGCTAAAGTAAATGGATGCCCTTGTAGTGCTGTTTGAGTAAAAAGCAGAAGTCGTTGTCGACCTGCCAAACAGGTTTGTGCACTTGTAATTTTTTGTGCAGTTAAAATTCAAATTGCATTGTGCAGGTTAACTTTACTTCATAAAGACTGGATTATGACTTCATTGTATGCAAATTCTGAGCTGTAACTGCTTAATTAACTTAGACAAAATAAGACCAAGTACAATATTATCAGGCAAAGTTTTAGGATCTGATATCTTAAAGAAGCAATGAAAACATATTTGATGTAGTTTGCATGAAGTCTTCACAGTTTGTGACTGTAGGCCGATATTGAGGGTGACTTCCTAATCTTTTGAACTTGTTTCTTGTCATTTAAATAAGAATGAGTCACTGGTTAAAACTCTTCTTTTTGTCTTGTTGCAACTTTTGTTTCAGAGGAATGTTGTCCTGAGACCTTCAACCTTTCTACATACAGTGACGTAAACAACACTGTGGGGAGGATTTAAAAATAGATGGAAAAATTCTCACCTTCTCTTCCATAATGGTGACCACATCAGGAAGACCACCAACCACTCTTCCACGGTCTAAGAGGAAAGTAAAAATATTACTATTGTGCTCAACACAGAACACATGTCTTTGCCATCATGAGATCAGGACACTGTGGACACTTGACAGAAAATAGCACTGAATCCACATTTTTGTGAAGATTTGGGCTTTTTAATGCTGCAGTGTTAAACTTTTGACCAGCTGATGAAAAGCCTATTTCTGTTTTATACTTGTTGGCAATAAAATGCTTACTCAGATATGTTGTCTCACTCCTATTTCTTGTTTTTGCATTTCAAAGCTCTACTTGAACTTTCTTAAAGGTCAAATGAAGGCTACTTTAGTTTGTCAAGTAACTGTATAATTTGATAGTATATGTTATATGCATTATGAATATCAATAAAATGTCTAAATATTGGTGTAAACATGACCTAAACATGCCATTTTGTACGAACTGCATAAAAATCAGAATTTGAATTTCCTATCAGAGCTCCTGCAAGAGGCGGAGCTTATGTGACATCACAGTTGTTGAGCAGCAGTCACTCCTCATAAGGATTACCTGTAGAAGCAGATTTAGTTTTTAAAGTTCTATGTAATTTTTTGGACTTGAAATGGAATATTGTGTGGCGTTTAGGTTCACAAATGGCACAGGGTCAGCTGCCAGCTTTTTTAAAGGGGATATATTATGTGTTTCTCAGGCATATATTTAAATTCTATAACAAAATAAAGTATCTATGTTACCTTCTGTTGTTATTAAAATGTTGTGTTTTTGTTAAAATAAAAAATAAACTTGTCTTCTCAAATTTTAAGTTTCTAAACACCTTGTTATTGGCCTCTGTCTCTTTAAGAACCTCCTTCTGCTTCTGTCCCACCCATTTCAACACGTGGATGGTGGGGGGGGGGGTTGCAATGTGATGTGGAAGATCATTGTAGTTTACTTGGCATCTGGAAACACAATACATTTTCTCAGAGGTATTTTGAATCTGAAAAGTGTTACGCTGAGAAGTAGTATTGGGAGCTAAGTAGACAGTTTCAGTTTCACTTTCAGTTTCACCCGTTGTTTGCTTTGTTGCTGCAAAGATCCTGCAGGAGTCAGGGTTGGGTGTGTGCTCTGTGATGAGGAAGCTCAGCTTGGAGACAGTCCAGAGGAGGAGCTGGTCCCAAAATGTGGTTCTAGTCCCAGCCGGTTGTTTCTGCTCCCCTGCCTGTCTGCCTCAGGACACTACAGGATTTCTCAAACATGTATGAATGAGTCAAAGCAAGACTCTGGGCATGTTTTTGATGAGAGGATAACATTATAATATGATATAAAACTCAAAAAAGTTGATTTTACATGATATAGCACCTTTAAAATTTCCTGAAGATCCAGGAGGTTAGAAGATTTGTGCTGATGCCGTGTGAATGAAAGACTGGAAAACGATGAATCCTAGTTCTGCTCAGACCATTTAAAAACTCAAAAAGCAGAGTCACAAGACTTTGCCTTTTCAGTGCTTCACAGTTTGAGTAGAAACATTGGTTTTGTGACCTAAAGGTTTGATTTGTAGGAGGATGTCACACCAACATCCTGACGGCCTGCAGTCATAAGAGGAACCATTTCAGCAGCATCAAGAGCCAAAAGTATGTTCCTAAAACTAAACAAAGTGCTGAGTTGCTTTTTATTAAGACTATTAATTATGAGCATAATCAGGTCTGCCTTGTTCATTGCTCAGAAAGCTACCCTGAGTGCCTCGAACAGGCTGCAGCAGGGAGAGCTGACTACAGCTAGCAGGCTAGTAACATCTTTTCATGTTGTAGTGTCCAAGAGTGGGGGGGTGGGCTCTTCTCAGGAATGCACAGATGTGTTATGCCTCTCTCAGTCTCTCTCAGTCTCTAGCTTTAGAGCTCGGCACATATGACCATATTAGGAAGAAGAACCGTAAGGTATACCGCGACAACATTTATGGTACATCTGTGAAAGCCTATAAAGAGCCTTGTACGCCCCCGCTCTTGGCCTTCGTTTTCATCTTCTTACTTGGTGAATCATTTTGGCATTGGAGGCCACAATTCGGTTTTTGGCTGTAATCTCCTGGAACTGCAAATAAAGCTTTTTTGCTGTTCAACCAGCCTGTTCAGAGTCCTTCTCTTCATTGAGCAACAACAGTTCCGCAGAACCCAGATGACCCGGTTTCTACACCTCAGTGTGAAACAGTGCTTAGAGCTGCACTGCTTTCTGCAAGTCATTTAGCTGAAATTATCAGTTCCATTAAAGAGATGAACAGCTTTAATGAGCAGCTGGTCTGATATTAATGACCACCTGAATGAACCAGTGGTTATTCATTCTTACAGCTCATGGAAAAAAAGTTGAACATTGAGTCAATGTTGAGTGAAAGCAGCTATCTGACACTGGGAGTGCTGTGGGTGGTCAGAGGGAGAAATTAAAACACTTTTTGCACAGACAGCATCTTCAGCCTGTTTACACTCGGTCAGAAGCCAGAGAGACTCTGTCCAGTTAACATGAAAGTTTCACCAGTTAAGCCCTCCACAACTTTTCACCCAAAATAAAATCTGTTTTATGCCAATTCAATATGTGGTTCTAATTTTGATACATGTTGTTTTTTAAGCAACCACTTACATTACACACGTCCACTTACTCAGAGCCCACTGAGCAGATGATGCATGGTAATCATGATAATACTACTAATAATATATCAGAATTACCTCCACCAAGGGCGCAGTAATGTTTTCGGTCACGTCTGTCAGTATGTTGTCGTTCTGTCTGTGGACAAAATTACTCAAAAACTTGTGGACAGATTGTCATGACATTTTTACCACATGTGTGTACTGGTCCAAGGAACACACCTTTAAATTTTGGTGATGTTCTGGATCACGATGCAGGTACAGGAATTTTTTTTCTTTGAATTTGAGTGAATCAGCCAGGCTATGCAGTGT